CTAGGAGCTCCGAACTCTCATTCTAATTTTCTTAATTTTAAATCATTACTATTTTTGATAATCCCACCTCGGGAAAAGAAGGAAAAAAATGAGTTGTTTTAATCATATAAAGAGAATTTTATACTCCCATCTCATTTAGTGAGGAGCCTTGTGAGAGTTTCAATAGTTAATTTTAATTTTCTTGATTTTCTTAATTTTAAACAATTAAGACAATCTCTATTGGCTAACTTTTATTTGAAAATCTCACATCGAAAAAAGAAAGAAAAAATGAATTATTTAGGTTGGAATAGAGTGAATTGTTTAGGTTAGAAGATTTTATCATAGTTTAGGTTGATGGTTCACCAAACTGTACGGTGAGAATCTGCCTCTCTAATAGGAGGACAACTTATATAATTTCAATTATGCTACGTAGCTCGAATCCTTTCTTCCCCCGAATCCCACGAACTCAAAACGACGTCGTTTCGTCGTTTTAAATTTTTTCTTTTTTCAATCAGAAAAGAAGAAGAAAGAAGAAGAAGAGAAGAAGAAGAAAGAGGCAGAGGCAGAGGCGGAGGCGGGGCTGCGACGATCGGCCGGGCGATCTGCGATCGATCGGCGGAAGGCGGAAGTGGAGGGGCCCTCTCTCTCCATTCCCTCTTCCACTCCTCTTTCTCTTCTCCTCTCTTCTTCTCTCTTCTCTCCCTCTTTCTCTTTCTCTCCCTCTGTTTCATACTTTCAGACTGCATAAGGAGAAAAAAAAAAAAAAAAAGAAACTGCCCAAAATGACGTCTTTTTGGGCAATCGAGGGATTCGGGGGGACAAAATTTGGGGGGAAAATCATTTCCCATATAATTTAAAGGTTTTTTTTAATAATTAATGTTATCTTATTATATAAGGAAAATTGTGTTTTTAGTGAGAAGCCTTGTGAGAGTTTCAATATCTCATACTAATTTTCTCGATTTTCTTAATTTTAAATAATTAAGAAAATCTCCATTGGCTAGCTTTTATTTGATAATCTCACATCAGGAAAAGAAGAAAAATAATGAGTTGTTTTATTCATATGAAGGGAATCTTGTGCTCCTATATTATTTAGTGAGGAGTCTTGTGAGAGTTTTAATATCTAATACTAATTTTCTTGATTTTCTTAATTTTAAACAATTAAGAAAATCTCCATTGGCTAGCTTTTATTTGATTATCCCACATCGGGAAAAGAAAGAAAAAAATTAGTTATTTTACTCATATAAAATGAATTTTATACTCCCATCACATTTAATGTTGTAGTATTGTGTATGTTTCAATTCAATATAGATTAAATTTTAAAAGTTTTAATTAATTAATTACGATTTAGCCGATTAGGCTAAATAATTTTTTATTTGATTGATTTGTTGGTTTTACCGCGATTTTAGAGGTTTTATCAAAATATATTGATTAGATTTGTTTAATTCGAAATAAACTAAAGATTGATCTGATTAAATAATGAAAAACTGAGATTGCTTGATTAGAAATAAATTTTTTGTCTAAAGAATTGTTAACTTTCATTTTATAATCCCACATCGAAAAAAGAAAAAAAAAACTGAGTTATTTCACTTATATAAAGTGAATCTTAATAGTGTAGTGTATACTTCAATTCAATACAGTTTAAATTTTAAAATTAAAATAACATTTAAAAGTTTTAATTAATTAATTTTTATATAAGTTGGTTGGTAATTTGACCTAACCGATTAGGCTGGACCATTTTGGGTTTGACCGATTCCAATTTAATCACGATTTCTCATACTGATTTTATTAATTTATAACAATTAAAAAACATTCCATTGGCTAATTTCCATTTAACCATATAAAAATAAAATTTTAATTAATTATGATTTATTTTATAATCTCACATAGGGAGAAAAAGAAAAAGTAAAGTTTGTTTCACTATCTATCTATATATTATATAAGAAAAATGAAATTTTCAAGGAGAAGCCTTCTAGGAGCTCCAAACCCTTATTTTAAAATTATTGAATTTTCTTAATTTTAAATAATTAAGAAAATTCTCGTTGGCTACGTTCCACTTACCTTTCATTTTACAATCTTACATCGAAAAAAGAAAAAGAAAAAGAAAAAAATGAATTGTTTTACTTATATAAAGTGAATCTTATGCTCTCATTTATATACGTAAAAGAAGATTTTTAATAAGAAGTCCTATGATCAATATCTCATACTCATTTTTTTGATTTTCCTAATTTTAAACAATTAAGAAAATTTCCATTGGCTAACTTTCATTTAACTTTTATTTTACAATCCACATAGATGTTTTGATTTTAAAAATAATATTGTATGAGATTTTGAAACTCTCATAATATTTAACTTTAAAATAATTATAATCCCACATCGAGAAAAAAAGAAAAAGTGAATTGTTTCACTTATATAAAGTGTTACAATCCCACATCGGGAAAAGAAAGAAAAAGTGAGTTGTTTCACTTACGTAAAATGAATCTTATAAAGGGGTTTTAAGGAAGAAACCTTCTAGAAGCTCCAAATCGTCATCCTAAAATTATTGAATTTTCTTAATTTTAAACAATTAAGAAAATTCTTATTGGTTAGCTTCCATTTACTTTTTATTTTATAATCCCAAATCGGGATTAAAAAAAAGAAGGTAAAAGTGAATTGTTTCATTTACATAAAGTGAATCTTATGGTTCAATTTATATAAATTATTGAAATTTCTTAATTTTAAACAATTAAGAAAATTCTCATTGGTTAGCTTCCATTTAACTTTTTTTTTACAATCCCACATTAAAAAAAAAAAAAAGGAAAAAGTAAATTGTTTCACTTATATAAAGTGAATCTTATACTCCAATCTATATAAGCAAAAGAAATTTTTTAGTGAGAAGCCCTATAATCAATACCAATTTTTTTTTTAATTTTCTTAATTTTAAACAATTAAGAAAATCTCCATTGATTAGTTTCCATTTGACTTTTATTTTACAATCACACATAAACATTTTGATTGTAAAAATAATTTTATGATATTTTGAAACTCTCATAATATTTAACTTTAAAATAATTATAATCCCACATCGAGAAGAAATAAAAAATAAGTTGTTTCACTTCTATAAAGTGAATCTTATACTCATTTAATATTATAGTATTGTGTATATTTCAGTTCAAGATGGTTTAAATTTTAAAATAAAATTTAAAGATTTTAATTAATTAATTTTGTTGTAAATTGGTTGGTCTTTTGACTTAGCCGATTAGGCTTAATCGTTTTCGGTTTAATTGATTCACTGGTTTAACCACAATTTTAGCTGTTTTATCAAAATATATTGCTTAGATTTGTTTGATTTGAAATAAATTAAGATTGACCTTATTAAAAATTGAACGACTGAAATTGCTTGATTAGAATAAATTTCTCATTCAAACAACTGTTAACTTTTATTTTATAATCCCACATCAGGAAAAGGAGGGAAAAAATGAATTGTTTTGCTATATAAACCTTATGCTTCCATTTCATATTGTACTATTGTATATGTTTCAGTTCAAAATAATTTAAATTTTAAAATTAAAATAAAATTTAAAACTTTTAATTAATTAATTAATTTTTGTATAAGTTGGTTGGTCCTTTGACCTAGACGATAGGGTGAACTGTTTTTGGTTTGACTGATTCATTGGTTTAACTGCGATTTTATCAAAATATATTGGTTAAATTTGTTTGATTCAAAATAAATTAAAGATTGACCTAATTAAAGATTGAACGGCTAAGATTGCTTGATTCGAAATAAACTTTCCGCCCAAACAATTGTTAATTTTTAAACAATTAAGAAAATCCTCATTAGCTAGCTTTTATTTTATAATCACACATTGGGAAAAGAAGGAAAAAACGAATTGTTTTACTTGCATAAAGTGAATCTTATACTTCCATTTATATAAACAAAATGAGATTTTTAGTGAGAAATCTTATGATCAATACCTCATACTAATTTTTTTTTTTTTTTTTAATTTTAAACAATTAAGAAAATCTCAATTGACTAGCTTTCATTTAATTTTTATTTTAAAAAATATAAAAAAATTAAATATAATTATCATATTTTTAGTAAATAATATATTATTTTATCTCGTGCATAGCACGGGTGATATGTTAGGTTTAAAAAAAATTGAAAGGTAAGTTAATTTATAAAAAGAATAAATTAATTTTGGAAGTTAAGTTGTAAAATGTGTTATGTAGGACATGAAAGTAAATAATTAATTTAATAAAACTTGTAGTTATATTTTGAGTGTTCTTAAACATCAAAGTGTGTTTGTTAATTTTTTTTTTATCTAAATACGAAATATATATATATATATATATATAAGAAAAAGAAAAAGAGAGTACATTTTTTTATTTTTTTTTAAAAAAATTCTTTAGAAATATTTTACTTTTTATGTAAATATCTAAATTAGGTACATTTAAAAAGTTTAAAAAATTAATTAAAATATAAAAAAAAATCACTAAAGACAAAAGAACACGAAAAATAAAAAAACTATATTCAAAAATAGTTTTAAAAACTAAATCCAATAGAGTGATAATGACCTATAATCAACATTAATTCAAATAGGTTGGATTTGTCTCAAATTCTTATTTGATTTGAGAGGCTTGTGGAGTCCAACAAGAGTCCTGTTTTGAAATCCGAATTGCTCATTTTGTAGGACATTCCGTGCATATCATTTAAGACACTTGTCTCAGAGAAAACAAACGATAAATATATTTTTAAAAATAGACTATCTATTTTTTTTTTTTGTAGGCAAACACGATAAAATTAAATACTACAAATATCGAATTGACCATTTTTTATTTTTATTTTTTATGAATGATACACACAAATGATTTAAAAAATAAACAATTTTAATTATTTAAAACAGGACCCGTGGTGAGCCCACGAGTCTCTCAAATTATTTCAAATTAATGTTTAAACTTGAAAAAACCCAATAAAATTTAAATAATAACTGTCATATAATATACACTATATATATCGAGTTCAGATTTACTATAGTGCCCTTTCTCTATAGTGCTTTCTTGTACTCCAAAACGACGTCGTTTGTGTCGTCTCTGGCTACACTGACAACAATCTTCTTGGGGATCATTCCTGTCAAGTGACTTCGAGATAGATTTATTGATCGCAAGCCCAATAAACTTGTGAGTTCCTCAGGGATCTCTCTTGAAAAATTGTAGCTTGAAAGGTCCAGGTTGGTCACGAGTGCCAGAATAGTGTTATATTGATACTCACTTCCTTTTGTCACCAGAATTACATCATCTTGGATCCCTACGTAACAAGAAGAATAAAAACTCCAGTAACTTAAGGTTTGTCTCGTGGCCGTGGCAGTGAAATTGTTGACACACCGTGGTATGTTTCCAGTCAAATTGTTGTCTGCAAGGTCTAAGATTTGAAGAGAGGTCAAGTGACAGATCTTGAAGAAATCTCACCTGTAAACTTGATGGAACGAAGGCCAAGAAACTTCAAGTCTATAAGACTTCTCCCTATACATGCCAGTATGCTTCCAACAAATTTATTCACACCAAGGTCTACTGTTAATAAATTTGTACAACTTCGTAGAGACAAAGGAAATTCTCCCGAGAGACTATTGCTGCGCACCTCCAATGATTTCAAGTAACCTAGAAACTTTATGGAACTTGGAATACTCCCCTCTAGATTGTTGTTTCCCAAGTTTATGTATTCTATTGAGTGCCAATTCACCCAACAATCAGGAATTTTCCCTGATAAATTATTTTCTCTGAGATTAAGAATTCTCAATTGATTTGTTTCATTTGAACTTCCACACAAGAAGTGGGACATATCTCCTGAAAATGAATTGTTGGAAAGATCTAGCTCATGTAGATGAGGAGAGATAGTGGGCAATGGACCACTAAATCGGTTGGAAGTTAAGTAGGTTACCGATCCAAAGTATGAAAAGTTATTATGCTTTGGAATATATGGAATCTCTCCATCAATTTGGTTGTTAGAGAGATCTAAATAATCAATTCTTGAAGAAAATTCCAAACAAGCAGGAATGGTATCTGAAATTCCAACTAGAGGAAAAGACCCACTTTTGAAAGTTTCTTTTGTGATTGAAGCCAAGTGGGAAATGTTGGACCCAAATAACATGACCTTAAATGTAGATTATCAAGTTGGAAGGGAGGAAACCACTTAGGGCTTATTTTAAAAATCAATGGATTGTAAGATGCATAGAATGATTTCAAGTTCGTGAGGTTGACAAAATGAGCCTCAGACACGATCCCTTCCAACAAATTATACAAAATAGCGAGTATTTCTAATTTCGTGATTTCAAGTTCCATTCAATTGATTATTGTCCAAATATAATGATGTTAAGGATGACATTCTTCCTATTGACCATGTAAGTGGACCAACAATTGAATTAAATGCAAGATCTAGTACCTTCAAATTTTTAAATTGCTTGAGATTATCATCTAAAGAACCAGAAAGTTGACAACCAAGTAAATTTAAATACTCCAAACTATCTAAAATGCATCCGGACAAATTTCTAAAAACATTTGACAAATCACCAAATTCGTTAGAGGATAAATTGATAACCTTTGTGTTGCAAAGGGTTCCCATAGATCTTGGTATTCTTCCTTCAATTTTATTGCTTGACAAATCAATGTGAATAATAGAACTCAAATTTTCGTGTTAAAAAAAAAAAAAAAAATAGAACTCAAATTTTCAATGTCACCTGAGATTAGACTTTGTGAATCATTTCCACCAAGTTTGAGTGATTTGAGACCCTTGAAATTATACAACCATGTGGGTATGGTGGAATCGAAATGGTTCCATGAGAGATTGAGGTCTCTAAGGCTGGTCATGTATTGAAGGCCACTTGAAATTGGACCACTAAAATCACAATAGCGTAGAACCAGAGAATCAAGGCCAGTAAGACCAAACAACCAATTTGGCATCAAAGGATTAAAGTAGTTGAAAGAGAGATCAAGAACAAGAAGAGAACTAAAATTAAGGCCAAGAAAAGAAGAAGAGGGACGAAGTTGGCAGTTAAGCAAGTGTAACTCTTCTAAAGAAGAGAGCATACTAGTCACCTGCAGCCAATCATATGCTTGGCTAAGGTTCACACAACTTAAATCGAGGTGTTGGAGTACAAGAGGACCAGAAATCCATTGAAGTTTTTCAACACTCACTAAACTATTAGAACAATGTGGAATACAGAGATAGTGCAAACTTGAGAGATTCCCAAGTGTTTGAGGAATTGGTCCACTAAATCCAGCTTCACAGAGGTCAAGGTATCTTAAACTCCTTAAAGAACGGACGAAATTGCGGATTTTGATCCCTCCAAAATCATTGTAGCACAAGTTTAAGTAACTCAAATGTCTCAAATTGAGCAAAGAAGGTTTTATCTTACCACTCAATATTTTGCAGTTGTCGTCTGTGCATGAACCTTGAAGATGGAGCTCAAGAACATGGTCGCTAAAGTTGTCACAGACAACTCCATCCCAAGAACAACAATCATCATTACTAGCCCAAGAGGACAGCAAGCTTGAAGGATCAGTAAGATTGTCCTTGAACCGCAAAAGGGCTTTTCTCTCCTTTGCAATGCCAGACGCATTGGAGTTTCCATTGCATGAACTAAAATGGAGACTTGCTATGGCAAGAAACCAACAAAGCAAACCAACTACAGAAGCTCTCATTTGTGCATCCATGTTATTACAAATTTACAATGTAGCAAAGAACCGAGCTATGTGTTTGAATTCTAGCTAGCAGGATAATTTGAAGGCCATTTATAATTGAAATCCTAAGTTGGTGAATGCTTAACAGTTTCAGAGCACAAACTCTAATCGCCATAAAATTTGAGAAAAATCATATATACAGTCTTATTCTAATTATTTTCATAATTTGAATTTATGATGCCAAATTTCAATAAAACCACCTCACTATTGCGCCAAGATCAGCTCTCAACGCATGCCTCATAATAAATTTTTTTTTTTTGAGCACCTCATAATAATCAAAGTGCGGGAGAAAGTAGTTTTAACAAGGTTCTATTGTGGGTGAGCTTAAAATTTTTTGATTATTATTTTTCATTTTCTTGACTTTTCTTTTGGAAAAATTGGTAATAAATTCAATCTAAGGAGTGTATAAGACATTAGGTCAAGTGGATATTTTTTATTAGTGAGAGATCTACCTTTCGTGAAATAGTTTGGTGAGAAATCCATTTGTTAGTTTTGGAGGACATTTTATTTCCAATTTTACGTCTTAATTTATCTATTGACTTTTTGTTGACTATCTGTTCAAATTTATATTTATTAGTTTAAATTTTTTTTCTATCTATTCAATTTTTTTTTATGTATTCAAATTTATATCTATTTGTTCAAATTTTTTTTCTATCTATTCAAATTTATATCTATATGTTCAAATTTTTTGACCATCTGTTTAAATTTTTTGACTATCTGTTCAATTTTTTACCTTATCTGTTCAACTTTTTTGTTCTTTTCAATTCAAAATTTGTTCCTATCTGTCAAACCAAGTCTATCTGTTGTCAAAAAAATTTATATCTATTGAAGCTTTGTATCTATTTGTTGAACCTACTCTATCTAGATAGAGAGATATTTGTTTTAAAAAACAAAAATTCTAACAAACAATCTTCAAATAGATACGTATAATCTATTATTTTTTTTTATTTTTTCAACACATATTTGTTGAAATTCGCAAAGATCTTATCAGTTTATTTTATCTGTTCACTAGCGGTTGGCACACATGATACGTTTGCAATTAAAATAAGTAAAAATAAAACCAAACTTTTACTATATATGGTTTTATGCAAGTAGTAAAAGTCTTATTTATTAATTCAAAAGTTTAAGGTTCGAGTTCTACTCTTGTTAACTATCTAATTTTTCCTTTTTTTCATTTTTTATATTTTAAATAGGAAAATGAGGACATGTGCATAAGGAGAAGTCACCAAAGTTTGGACCCTAAGTGCGTTGTTCACTTTTAATAATAGTATAGACCAACAATAATAACAATCAGAATAACAACAACAATCTTCATCAATAACAACTGCACAAAAATAAATAAATCTACCACAAAAAAAAAAAGAGAGATAAAAAAAACCCTAGAGACAAATAAATGAATGCTACTATTCAAAATTCTAGAAAGTCGTCTTCATTATCATCACCAAGAAGACTTTCAAGATTTGAGCCTTCAACAATAGCAACAGATAAAAGAAAAGCACATTTTCAAATTTTTACATATCTATATCTATACAAACACACACACACACACACACATATAGCACATGTAAAGATCATAACTCATGTGATATTTATTTATGGGAAAACCATCGTGAGATTGAGATTGAACAAAAGATTGAGAGCAACGCCGTTGTACAAAGTACGGAGCGTTGCAGATCCATCGCGAATGTGGATTTTCGAGTTCGAATTTCAAATCTAGAGATCGCAGCTCAGATCTGCTCGATGTCAGCGACTAATGGGTCATGCGACGGGCTCGTAGTAGTGGTCGTCTTTGTTGGCGGCGCTGGGAGAGAAGTTGGGTGGCGGTGTAGCGGAGGTGAGGAGAAGAGAGAGATCGACGACGGTGTAACGGTGCAACAGTTGTGGGATCAGCGACGATGGGCGAAAGAGATCAACGATGGGCGGAAGTAAGGAGAAGAGACAGAGAAAAGACAAAGCGACAGAGCTCTAGCTACCATGAGAGGTGCGCGAGAGAGAAAATGATGTAAGAGAGAGAGAGAAACGAATAAGGCCATCTCTAACACTTCACCAAATTTATCATTAAATTTAAATTTGGTGAAAAAATTGCCTTTTTTGTATTTCAATGATTTTATCAAATCTGTATTAAATTAAAAAAATAGCAAATATTTCACCAAATTGAAGATCTGATCACCTTTCACCAGGACCGGATTACTGTGCAGGACTGTTGCAGGATGGGACCGCTGGACGTCCAGCCGGTTGTCCTCCGGTCATCCTCTTTGCTGAAATTATACTATGGATATAGAACTCTTTGCTGAAAGGTAGAGGTTGACTTTGAAGTCTATGTAACTAAGGCCTCGTTTGGGACTTACCTTTTTAGTCAATTAGTCAAAAAATTATTAAATTAGTTAGAAAGTCAAAAACTCATACTAAAAAATCAAAGATTCTCTTTTCTCTTTACTTTTTACACATCTTTTCGTAATTAGCCAAAAAGTCATCCCAAACATACAAGTTTTTTTTACCTATCTTTTTAGCCAAATAGCCAAAAAAATACTAAATTAGCATGTTCCCAAACGAGGCCTAAAACCCATTTCTCAAAACAACAAAAAAACTACTTTTGTCTTTCACTCTCATCTCAATCTTGATTTCCATCTCTGTATTTCTATATTGCTCTCCACACATATATATATATATATATATACATACATGTTTTGTCAATTTCTATGAGTTTTTGTTGATAGGACTCTAATGTTGTGTTTGGTTGGAGGATTTAGGGAGGGATTTGGAAAGGGAAATGGAAAAGGTAGGTGAAATGTGAATAAATCATGCCTATATTTCACATAGTTTCACACACCTTTTCCCTTTTCCTTTCTAAATCCCTCCACAAATCCTCTAACCAAACACAGCATAAATGAGTTCTCTTGAAAGTGGCTTTTCGTTGAAGAGAGATCAAACTCTGCTTTGCTCTTTTTCATCATCAGCGAGTAGGAATGAGAGAAAACCATTTGGTCAAAGACCTAGATCGAGATTCGTTAGGTTATTCTTGTTCAAGAAGATTGATTATCTTCAATGGATTTGCACAGTTGCTGTGTTCTTCTTTCTTGTTCTCTTTCAGATGTTCTTGCCTGGTTCAGTGATTGAAAAATCGAAGAATTCATGGAGAGAAGGAGAGGAATTAACTTATAGGGATTTGATGTTATGGAAGGAGATTGGTGGGTTAGATTTTGGGGAAGATATTAAGTTGGAACCATCAAAGCTTTTGGCTAAATTTCAAAAAGAGTCCAATGAGGTCAATATCTCTTCTGTTTTAAGAAGATGAGTGAGATTTTAGTGTGGAAAACCCCAGCTTGCTTTGGTGAATAGTGCGATTTTGGTACCAATTTTATGTTCTTCTTGTTGCTTTCAGTTATGACTGGAATTAGTTTGATAGTTGATGTGTTGATTTGGTTAATCATTATTTTGTGAAGATTTATGGTTGATTTTTTTTTTTTTTTTGCATGGTTTAGTTTATATATATATATATATACACACGTATATATACATATATTCTGGGTGAATTATTTATTGGGTAGTGTGCCCTATTGGGATTTTAATTTGTACTATTTTGATTTTTACTTCTAGGGATTTGATGTTATGGAAGGAGATTGGTGAGTTCCTCAATAGCCCTGTTTTGAATGGTTATGCAAATGGTATGGTGGAGATAGTTTGGAAACTAGTGCAAGTGTACTAGTCATTGTGTTTTGGGATGAAAGGGAACAGAGAGGAAACTTGTGAAGTATGGCATTTCTTTACAATTAAATGTTACAGATTTGGCATCCCTAAATACACAATCATTTCTAAGTTTTCAAATGGACCATAGAGTAGCAAGGGGAATAATTCTCCAAATCTTTTTTTTATTTTTCTTCATAGGCTGACCCTCCCACTAGAGCAGTACTCTTTCAATAGAACCTGGGATGGCTCACTCCACACCCCACCATCTTAATAAGGTTAACCACATTTCCCAAACAAAAGGGCAGTGCAATAATACATGAAGCACAGATTCCTCAGAATTTTTACAAAAACTACAAGCTATGAAGGAGGTGCCATTGAGAATACCAATTCTTTGCAAAAATGCAGCTTTCTTCACATGTTTCCAAGCAAGCCAGCCAGCCAAAAAATTGCACTTTCGGAGGCAAGATTGAACTCCACACCAGTTTACTCACCATGGGATGAGTGGCTCCATCCAAATAGCTAAGATAATACAGTGAAGAAACAGAGAAAGTACCTGAGTCATTGGTAGTCCACCTTGTGTAGTCACTGATGTTCTTCTTCTTCTGTAACTCCTAAGTTCCCAACCAAACAATGCTTCTCTTCTTTCATAATTATTATGGTAAATAATTCAACTATTGTTTTTTTATTTTTTGCACTGATTGGTCGATCGGCCGGTCGTTCGCCCGGTCGACCGGTGGTTTGATAACAAAGTTAAATTCCTCTGTTGGAGCAGGCGATATCAAAAAGAGTTTTTACTCAAATTTAGTGAAAAAAGTAATGCACCGTTGGATATACCCTAAGTATTGAGAAGCACATGTTTACGATGATCGATGAAGATCACTGTGTGTACGTTAAGCTGTGGGTTTCTGAAAATTGACACACTAAGATTTTTAACTAAGGTATTTAGTAAGAATAGTTATTATATTGAATCATAATTAAAATAATTTATAAACAACAAATATTGAACACCCACAAAATTATTATTCTTAATAATGTCTTGTTAGTGATTGATTTGAGTCAATTTAAAACTAACTTTTACACTAATGTATAATTCAGATAGACTGTAGACAAAATTAATTAATAAATTTTCTTTAAAGAATAATTAAAAGATGGGTTTTCACAAATTTGATCCTCTCGCAATGAATATTTTATAACTTATTAATCACTATTAATTAATATATTATTCTAGAAAAATCAGCTTACATTGTATAATTAATGACTTATTACTTAATATTTTAATATTGTTT